TGACGTGTTTTACCTGGTCGCCACATGCTGTGCTTGTCGCTGCTGAGGCCGTTGCCCTTTGGTGGTAGTGGGCGGCGTCGCAGTTGTAGATTGTGACCGAGCATCACAGCATGGACCCTCATAGTCCCTCGTCCAATCTCGCGTGGTGCGCAGTCTTGAGCATGCCCTAAAGTGATACCAGCCAAGGCAAATGTTGCACTTGACTGATGTCACATTACGGAATAGCCTGGACTGACACACCGTGCAGATTGTCGGAGGAAATAGGAGTTGTTAGCGGTGGCGTTTGGGTGGTGGTGCAGTTGTATCGGTGGTGTGGTCTGTTGTGTCAGTGGTGTTGTCTATTGTATTGTGTTGTGGTGAGGTTGTGTTTGTGTTGAGTTGCTCAGACGGACTCTGTTGTGCCGTGGAGCCTGCTCGATTTGCGGAGCAAGGGGCCACGCATGCGGTGGTCCACTGCCTATGAGTCGTAAGGCCTGAGCAAACTCGCAGATGGCTCCACCCATTGCATGTGTTGCTTTTGACGGAGGTGGAGTTGTAGTTTAGTCTTCTCTGGCACACGCAGCAGGTATATGTTTCTGGTCCAGGGTTTGACTCAATGCCAGCCCTGAGCAGAAGTATGCGAAGAAGATGTATCCCTAAACGGGGTTAGATGCCGAAACAACCGCCCTTGGTCGGGTAAAACCCGAGTCATTCCGGCACGTAGAACCGGCTGTCGTGGGAATGGGTCTTGCGCTACCCTCGTACTTAACGAGTACTCGTTTGCCAAACAGCCTCGTGAGTTGCGCAAGCTCAGAGCAAACTAACGAGCGAGAAAAGGGCTAAAATGAGGCAAATCCGAACCCTGGACAGCAGGCTGTGAAATATCAAATGTCGGAATTCCTTGAACGCTACTATTCACACAAACGAAATAATAATTTATTTTTTATTTACCGTTTTCATATCAGGTCCGTACTTGGCTTTTTACATTGAAATAACGAAAATAAGCATGGTCGTTGAAATTAAACTTGGAAGCCCTGAATAAGCAAAATAAGCAATCCAAAGCAAAAGCTTAGAATTTTCGGCCTTGTGAATAACTTCACTCTCTGTTTCATTGTACTAGCATTAATAGCATGGTGGAATTATACAAGGTGTTGTACGTAGTGACAGCTCATGTCGACGGCTCCCTTACAAAAGGTTGTAATATGGAAGAACGAGAGAAACGGGAAGAAAAGAAGCACGCTTTGCGAAGTAGTACGAAATTTGGTACTCTTTCATATCAAATTTTGCATATAAATAGTAACAAACGGTATATTATGATAAGCTAAATTTGCGAAAGTAGTATATATTACGTAGCACTTATGCAATAAATGGTAATTTAGTTTATTAAAACACAATGTCCTATAATTATAGTCAAACTTCCAAAACCGCTTTGGGGTCTAATTTTTACCCGAAAATACTATAAGATGATTGATATAACTTACAAAAATTTCGCCATCAAAAAATTAGTGGTGACCCCGAGTCGTTACAACATGACGGAGTCCACAAAAGGGCGCATCGACGGATGGGGAAAATATTTCATCGAACAAAATGCCAACTAAAGATGTGGAGCTTGTATCGCAATGCAAGCTGCGACCGTTCTGAACTGAGATGCCAAACAAATGGTTTCTACAAATTGAGGCCACCTTTCAGTCGTACAAGACCACATCTTATGTCCGGAAATATAATTTGGTCCTCTCAGCAATTAGCAGCGATGCTTTAAAGGAAGCTGCGGATGTTTTAAAAGCCGTACCAGCTCAAGACCGATATATTAACCTCAAAAGTCAACTACTGTCACGTTTTACTGATTAAGCCGACCCACATAGGGTATTTGGCTGATTTTAGGCCTTTGGAGAATACACAAAGCCAATGTTTTTTTGTCGAATTAATGATTTTAATTTTTAATTTAATTTTGTCAACGAATAAGAATAAAGTAAATGTCAAAGAATTGTTCAGTGATTGCAAATCAGTTTTGGAATAGGGAATGAGGTAGTTTAGTTTTTTTAAAGGCGGTAAAATGTAGTTTTTTCAAGAGGGAAACACCGATTTTGCTAAGGGAGCCAAGATGGCAGATTAGAGCGAGGACGCTGTCAATATCCAACACCTTGTATTATTCCACCATGATTAATAGTAAAATTTGCACGGTGCTAAAAAAAAACAAATACACTCGAAACAAAACTTAGTGTAGGTTGTAGTTGGGGTCGAATAGGTTTATTATAACGGGTGATTTTTTAAGAGCTTGATACCTTTTTTTTTAAAAAAAACGCATAAAATTTGCAAAATCTCATCGGTTCTTTATTTGAAACGTTAGATTGGTCCATGACATTTACTTTTTGAAGATAATTTCATTTAAATGTTGACCGCGGCTGCGTCTTAGGTGGTCCATTCGGAAAGTCCAATTTTGGGCAACTTTTTCGAGCATTTCGGCCGGAATAGCCCGAATTTCTTCGGAAATGTTGTCTTCCAAAGCTGGAATAGTTGCTGGCTTATTTCTGTAGACTTTAGACTTGACGTAGCCCCACAAAAAAATAGTCTAAAGGCGTCAAATCGCATGATCTTGGTGGCCAACTTACCGGTCCATTTCTTGAGATGAATTGTTCTCCGAAGTTTTCCCTCAAAATGGCCATAGAATCGCGAGCTGTGTGGCATGTAGCGCCATCTTGTTGAAACCACATGTCAACCAAGTTCAGTTCTTCCATTTTTGGCAACAAAAAGTTTGTTAGCATCGAACGATAGCGATCGCCATTCACCGTAACGTTGCGTCCAACAGCATCTTTGAAAAAAAATACGGTCCAATGATTCCACCAGCGTACAAACCACACCAAACAGTGCATTTTTCGGGATGCATGGGCAGTTCTTGAACGGCTTCTGGTTGCTCTTCACTCCAAATGCGGCAATTTTGCTTATTTACGAAGCCATTCAACCAGAAATGAGCCTCATCGCTGAACAAAATTTGTCGATAAAAAAGCGGATTTTCTGCCAACTTTTCACACATTCAACACATTTCGAACCGAACACTGATTTTGGTAATAAAATTCAATGATTTGCAAGCGTTGCTCGTTAGTAAGTCTATTCATGATGAAATTTCAAAGCATACTGAGCATCTTTCTCTTTGACACCATGTCTGAAATCCCACGTGATCTGTCAAATACTAATGCATGAAAATCCTAACCTCAAAAAAATCACCCGTTAGTTCCTGAACCCTCCGTGTTTTTGGTTGCATGAAGGTTTGTTTGTTAATTTGAAAACACTACGATTATATTTTCTAATGTTTTTAAAGAAACTGCGAATGAAAACTCCAAAGAAACCTGCCCTGACTCCTGCTCCCAAGAAGCGGCTCTACCCTAAGATAGGCGTGAGCGTGGTACCGGTGGCGTTAAAGCATGCCTATCACAGCAACACATTTTGTACACCGAACAAGCTAAAACGAAACACTGTCGCTGACAAACTGAACCATTCGGAAATGGGACTTACACCAAAGCAAAAAGAAAAGTAAGATTATGCGATTATTTCCAAATTGTTATTACATATTTACGTATTTTTACTTAAAGGGCCCAAACAGGCATGCTGGCTCCATTGATACCCGGATTCTCTTCAATGCTCCCAAATTTAACTTCGAAAAATCGGGAATCGAGTATTGTAATGGACGGATCCATAGATTCTCGTGCCTCGATAATGAGTATGAACGTATCATCATCAACTATGTTTGGGAATGATGGCCCATCGACGAGTAAGACGACTAGGTATGGAAATCGTAATTAAAAAAAAACTTCATTAAATTATCTCCTTCATGCAGTTATAGTCCAGTGGTACGTAAATGTATGGCCGAAATCGGAAATATCATGGACAACAAAATGTCGAAATTTCTGGAAACTCTCAGTGAGAATTTTAGACCTCAAACTATAATTGTAGAAAAAACGCCCAGCTCTACGCCATGGACGACCGATCCAGGTAGTGTAAGAGCGTTGCCAACGGTGTTTCGCCAGGAATTGAGAAGTATTGTAAAAGAAGTATTAAAAGAAAATGTTGGCCAGTCAAATGGAAACGAAACAGAGTCAATATTGGAGTCTTCCCTTTTAAGAAATGATCCCAAATGCCAGCTGGTAATTTTTTACTGGATTTATCAATGAAAATATTCTAAATAAGATTCTTTATTTTATTTAAGTTTTCAACAAGTAGTCCGGTTTTCAAAGTCCCTTCTGTACCTGATGGAGGTTCTGATAGTACTGAAAAATCGATTGAAGCTCACGAGCAATCAGAGGATTCTGAAGTCTTTGAGGGACGTCGGCAAAGTAATGCTGCAATGCGTCGATCGCGGCGCATTTCTCATCGCTTGCAACATAGCTCAGTTTCCAGTTTAGGTGCTTGTGGGACAATAAACGAGACACTAAGACGTTCACGACGCATTTCTACGATGCGAGAAAAAATTGAGGAGCAAACAATATCCGAAATTAGCGAAACATTCAAATTGGCAGGAAAGATCCATCATAAAAACAAATCCTTAAAGCAGTTGCATATTGAAAGGCGAGAGAGTATACGCCATGCTGCACATTTGAACGGTTTGGAATCAGATGACGGAAATGAAGGGGTTAAAAATAACTCAAAGAAAGCTAAGAGCACACAAAAACGATGCATCGCTGATTTAAACAATAGTGTCATAGAAAGTTACTTTGCCAACGAACCGAAAAGTTCCACGTCGAATGTTAAATCAAGGAAACCCCATATTAAAAAACATCGAAAAGCTGTACTTGATTTACTTAACTCAGGCTCTATGAAAGAATTGCAGATACTGCCACAAATTGGACAAAAAACGGCATTCCAGTTGGTGACACAAAGGTAATTGCCTGTTTCAACCCTACCTGCACTGATTTAAGTCTATGTATGTATGTACAATTTTTTGTATTCTAGAACAATAAGTGGAAAATTTAAGAACATCGCACAGCTTGAAAAACTGCCTATATGGCGTGGAAATTCCTGGACTCGATTTGCACAGGTATTCAAAATCAATTCCCAAAATAATTTCGAAAATTCTAACTTTCCACTTGCAGGCCAATTTACTACTAGACTGAATCGTGTTTGTTTGAAATTTATTGATTTATAAAAATATTAAATAAAAAAAGGTTTTAGTTTAAAAACTCCTACAGACAATTCTTAAAATTTGAATACGAAAAAAAAATCAGTAAAAAATGAAAGCAAAATTTACTTTTTTCGACC